TGCAATTTAGAAATTAATCGGTTAAATAAATAAGATTACATCAACTCCTTCCTGTAGTGTAAGATAATTTATACCTATTAAGGACCAGGAATTGTCAAAGTTTTTCAAATGTATTACACATAAAGGAGGGTGCTTTACTTTTATGCCTTCTGTTTGCGCAGATTTCTGAATATTATCTGTGAAGTAGCAAAACAACCCTAGAATTTTAGTGGAACTGGAGTTATACATTTGTTACAAATTATTAGCATCTCACCACTGGTCACCCAGAGAACGAGCTGGCACAGTGTTTGATTTTCATGGTCAGAAATTTTAAAATAAATAAGTTATCTCATTGTCACAGCTGGAGAAGAAGAGGAGATTAGCTGCAGTCTCTCCCAGTGCTGAACATGGTGAACAGCTGGCTCCAGGGTTCATCTACTTCATTCTCATGCAAGAGCAGAGCAGACTAAATAGCTGCAAAACAGGGGCCTTAAAAAACACAAGGGCCACTTTTCTAGATGTTGCATCTCCGTACCCTTCTCTCAAGTCACGCATGCTAAAATGGAGGACAGAGTCGTTCCAACCATTAGCTGGCAAAAGGGCTGTCTGACAAGCCACAGCTCACGATGAGTGCCCAAAGAACAAGTAACATCTTTTCAAACACCAGTGCTTTTTCTGAGCATGAGTTTTAGAAGGGTTTAAGATTTTTACATTTGAGAAACTAAGGGAAAGTTCCCCCAATGCGAACACTAGCACAGAAAGTTTTTTGATTTAGGAACAAAAGGCCCTTTGGCTCAAGGCCAGTAAAAGTGGAAGTACCATTTCTACCACTTTGCTGTCCCAGACACCTTGCAAAACAGGTGATTATAACACTGACAGTCCTAAATAAACTATCTGGTTTTAACCCTGCCCAACACTGATTCTAGTTATTGTCCCAAATGAAGAGCTACATCACTGTGCACCATCACCCTTTTCTGCTCCATGGGAAAAGGAATTTCAGAGCAGGAAGTCCAAATGAACACACGTATGCTTCTTGGGCCAAAGTACCCTGAGATAACACTCTAAACCATAGCAACTGGTTAGCTCTGCTGCAGTCAAACTACTCCCTGCAAAAATACTCTGGATGTTAGAATCATCAAGCAAGTGTGTGCCTTCTGGACTCTAACAGTTCAGAAATACCCATAATACTCTGTCATTTCCCCTGCACAACTACACTAGCCTTTCCTTGTCAAGATGAGACTGTCTCCTGTGGGTGGCATCAGGGTCTCAGAGCTTCCCAGGCAGCTCTCTCCTCGCATAGATGGGCACAACTCCTGTGTGGAATGGATCAGACCTGGAGGGGTGCAGGTGACTCCACACAAAATGGCTGCTTTGGCACTAACCAACCAAGCTGAGTCTAGAAGGGCACAATTGCAAGATCACCCCCAAAACATCAGTGAGAACATGGCACACTAAAAGTGGTGCAGCAAAATACCTGACCCTCCTATTCCCAAGCCCTCTGTTAAACTAGGAGAATTTCAGGTCACCAAAATACAGGTGTCTGGTGCTATCTGAGATGTTCTCAGGCTCCAGCTGCCACCCAAGAAGGGACTGCTCCCCCATAGGTCCCATGTCATATTGCCAACCTCATGCAATTATCTCAGACACTGTCTGACATCTAAAACACTGGCAGACGTGACATTTGCAATCAGAGTTCCTTCCCTGCTATGCTCCTCAGATATTATTGTTCTATGTGTGTTCACTTTTTGAAAGCTTGGCAGATGATTGAAAAATGCCTTCCATGCTTTTTAGTCTCAAAGTGATTTTGTCCTGCAGAATTTCCAGGGAAACATCAGTATTCAACAAGCCCCTCTTGCTGCTGGCCAAGTGCTCTCTGCAGTCAGTCACTGGCAGGATGACCCTTCCTGAACACATCTGATCAGTGCTATGTATTGGCTGTTCTGTGGTTGCTCTACACAATTCTACCATCTTTATGCAGCTGATAAAGGCTATGAAGCATGCAAAAATGGAAGCAGAAGGGCACACAGCAAAGCAGACAATTGGCTCATGCCCTGTCTTTTTTTCCTGCCTATCTACCATCAATACCCTACACACCTTCTCCTCTGCTTGTGAAGACAGGCACTCTCCTGTGTGTTTCCATGCAGCTCAGAATCAGTTAGGCAAGCTAATGAATAGCAATGCAGCTGGCACTGTGCAAGAAGAGTACTCTTCCCCTCCTTCTGCCCTCCAGGTATCTCTGCTTGGAGAAGATGATACAAACTGTAGCTCTCCTCCTGGGCTCCCCAGGCTGCCAACAGGCAGTTGTGATGAGGGCAGTTTCCCTAGGGTATGAAGACATTTTGACCCCTTTGCTTTCCCTCCTGCCTCCTCTGCCTGCCTACGGCTGCCATCCCTGCCTGTGCAGCCACAGCCTGGACAGCAGATCAGCAGTGTGGGTGCTGGCAGGTGGAGGGGGCAAAACCAGTTTGCTACAGGGCTGGAAACAGGTTCTGTTGGTCCCACAATTAACTACCGAGTTTCTGCCTTTTGTAGGAGCAGTCAGGATCACACTTTCAATTCATCCCACAGGGCAGGAACAGGAAAACTCTGTACTTGTACTGCTCAGGGTGAAGAAAAAGAAATACCAGCCCAGAAATGTCTATCACCTGCCATACTGAATATGACATGGCTAACACTGCTTTCACCAGGGCTCTTGATATCTATATAATTTAAGTCTTTTGTTACAGCTGCAGCACAGAATTAAACAAAAATGGGCTTTAAACCCATGAATACTTTCAACCTTTTTGGACTTAAAATTGAAAAATTATCCAAAATTCTGACTAAGAGTTTGCCACTGTGGAGTCTTTTGGGAGTTTTGGTTCCCATTCCCCCAGGTGACCCAGAGGTCACACTGTATCCCACCCTCTGCTTCTGACCCAGTGCAATGTATCTTTAATATGACATCGCCAGACAGAGCTTGGGAGACACGAACTGTCTGTGAGCCTGAACTAAACATAGGAATGGGACATACAACACAAACAACAACTCTCTCCAGTTCCACAAGGAACCTAACAGATTTTTTTTTCAAAACCTGTCAGGTCATAGGTGAAGCTCTGAGTGGAAAGTTGAACCTTTCCCTCATGTAAAGCCCAATCTTTCAAAAACAGGAAAGTCCCAGACAACCTTAGTTTTCGCACTGAAAAACAAAACTTGCTCAGAGATTCCTCCTTTGTAACTCGTCTTTTGTTCAGTGCAGCTGCGCTGTAAGCAGTGTGAAGCAGAAGCCTACCTGCACATGTGATTATTTCAGTTTCCTCCATATGCATAGGTACAGATTCTGATCGCTTTGAAGTGGTGCCAAAGACAGTAATCTCTGATAGCACTAGGAGTCAGGACTGATAACAGGCAAGTTTAAGCACTACTCGTGTGATAATTACATAGTTGTCAAAAATATATAAGTTGGCAGCATGCAGAAAATACAATGTTTGGAATACATTGGGAAAGCAAAGATGACCTTCTGCCATAGTCCATCATACAATTGAGCTCCGAGTAGTTCCCTAGGGAGCTGTCTTACCAGGCACCAAACAAGCACTTTTCAGAGACCATCTATTCCCAAGCCGCCTGTCTTCAAAAGTGCTTGACACGATCTGCAACCATGTGTGTTAACTGGGAGGTTTTTTCCACTATCCACCATAGCATCAACAGAAACTCCTTCACTGCATACACCAAAGTAGTACATCCAGAAGCTGTGGTGAAGATGTCTGCTACAGTTTCATGGCTAATCCCATCTCTTGCTTGTGTCTTGCTGGTCTTGATCCACCAAGGCACCACCAGCACTTGTGCTGGCCTTTAAGCTTGTGAGAATCAAAGGGAACCCTGAAAAGATCTTTCAATGGATAACATCACCAAGATCAAGAGGCAAGACCCCTTCCTTTCCACACAGAGTCTGGCCTCTTGCATGGGTGTGACAAACTACACACAGAAGTTGAATATTCACTACTGAAAACACTCAGTAGGTTTAACAGTTGCCATGAAGTGCTGCTGGGCATTTTATCAATGATCTCTGTCTTAAAAAACACATCCTCATGCCTTTTGAATTGTTCTTTTTCCTGCTGACCCATGAAAGACAGAAGAAACATCTCATGTTTAAAATGCAGTCCTTTTGCTGGTGTGTACAGACAGTGCCTAAGATATCAAATGCATGAGATCATTAGTCATCAGACTGGGCTGTTACCACTCACAGGCCCACACTGACTATTCAAATGGATTTTCAAAGGAAGACTCTAGTTGATGGTCAGAAATCCTTACTGGCTGCAGAATTCAAACTGAGGACTTACAGAAAAGGAGCAAACACTCACCATGAGGTTGCAATTCCATAGGGATATCATGGACACTCACTATCACACAAACAATCAGTAATGGTTTGTCACCATGGAATTTCTTGATATTTCATTGTCACATATGTATTTATTGTAGTATCAGGCCAAAACATGGTTGCCTGAACTCTCCTGTTTATACACTAAGAAAAAAAAATACTGCTACCCTTCTTCCTGTGTTATTAAAATTACTTGTGTCCTACAGCACAAGACATAGAAGTCACAGTATCTAACAGTCACCGAATAAACCTGTTGAAAATGACCAGTTGAGTGTGCAGAGGGAATCTAACATTTATCCCGATTTACTCGCACACCTTGTTAGCTGCCTGAAGAGAACTCTCTTTCCCCTCCTCCTTGTAACTAATCAACATAAATATTTGTAGTGTTCACTTGCAAATAAGTGCATAAAAGAATGTACTTGATAATCTTATCTAAATGCTCCAGCCAAACTAGAGCATTTTTAAAGACGTAACAGGAATTAAAATATAAATTTTCTTCCTTGATCTTCCCTGCATATACAATTTTGCTATATGCTTACAAAGTTACCAGAAAGTGCAAAATTGTAATAGTAGGACTACAATATCCAGAGTTGGATATTCTGAACATCTTAAAATAATCTCCAAGCATATAACCCTGAGAAAATGAGAGAGGGAAATCCATACTTACCTGAACGTGATCTGTCCAATTCTCCTGAGTCATGGTTTTCTGAAAAGACAAAATTACTTTTGAGCCATCTTAGAAAAGGGAGCAAGCTGAAACTTAACACACCGTCTTACACACTGGCATCAACTGTGATTGAGGAATGCATTCTGGAGCACACGGGAAACCTCTGCTTCTCATATGTCACCAGCCGGCGCATGGCAGAAAACCACAGCTTAGATGAAGTAATTCAGACAACCGCTACACTACAGCACATAAGACAAAAAAATTCATATGCAATCAAAATACACAGGCAATGGCAGGCCCTTACTTAGCAGTAGTCCGCACTCTCATTATTAGCTGGAGCTGGGTCCTGGGCTCGTTTGCAGAAAACTAATCACCTTAACAACGTGCTGCAAAGCGCAGCAGCATTTCTGAATGCCTCAAAGCTCGCATGGTGCTCTTGCAATGACAGAGACATTGCTGAGCAAAGCTGAAACAGGCCGTGGCCTGGTGGAACGCATGGATCAACTGCTATTGCCTTTACCTCAGATTTGCAATATATCCATAGACTGTTCACCTCAACAGCTAGCACAGTGGAGAGCCATCCCCATAGGCTCCAGTAAAGGAAGTAATCTCAGGGATTATCTGCAAGGCTGAGCCTTCAGAACAGAAAAATACAACTTTTCTCAACAGCCAAGTCATGAAAAATCCTCTGGAATCATGAGGTCTGGGGAAGGAAACTGATAAGTTAACATACCCATTCCAATGTAGCTCAGAGCCAACCTTGGGGAGAAACTCGGGTTGGGACCTGCTCTCCACTCTGCCAAGAACACAGGCTGTGTAAGACTGATCAGCCACCGAGGCCTGAGCCTCACCCCCACTTCTGGCAGAGGTAACAATGATTACTAGTGCCACTTTTATGGAAAGGTACAAGAGCAAACAGGGAGTAAGAGCCTCAAAGAAAACATCTTTGAGATACACAAGCATGTAATTTAAATACTAGTGAGATGAAGGAGCCATTTAACCAGACCTCATACACAGCTGAGAATGGTAAACAGAGAACATCAAAGAGCTCTCAGAAGAAGGAACTGTGTCCAGAAACAGCTGCCAAATGTACCTTAATGGAAGTAACTGGCCAGCTTGGATACTTTAAATCAAGCAAATACTCCAAAACAAAGGAAGTGGAAGGCCAGAGAGAGCAGAACACCAGATCAAGAATCCATTCCACTCTGCTAAATAAATACACCTGGATAAATGCTTTTCTACTCCCTCACTACAGATGACCAAGCTCTCTAGAATGATGTCATCCAACATTAAAGCTTTGAGATACAGGACATTGAAATGCTTGATCCTCCCTCCTCTTCTGTCAGTGGATCTGGCAGGCAGCAAAGACAGATCAGAGCCTTCACTGATGGATCAGAAGGTCTTGGAAGCAGAACTGGCAGTACCAGAATGGCATCATCAGATCACCACCACTCAACCCTATCTTCACATTCAAAGTACTGGGGGGTGGGGGATCAGAAGAAACACATACATCTGCCTTCTTCTGTCAGAACATCAATGAATCCTCTTTTGAGCAACAGAACAGGCATTTCTGGAGGAGGTGTCTCATTTCCTGAAAACTGGCTCTCTGAAGACTGGATCAATAGTACCGTAGGAACATCTGAACAACCTGTTGGGCTCGCTTAAAACTCTGTTAAAAAAGCCTCTTGTATCTGGAAGAAGAAAGTCTTCTATGAACTGCAGATGAAACACCACTCTATGTTTGGCAAATACAGCTTGATAATTCAAAATTCAAGAAATGGAAACATTTCGCTACGATATGCAGTCTCTTGTGGTCCTTGCCCTTCACAGTCCAATTGATATACCTGGATACAAGAAGTGCAAGCTGTTTTTTCCAGAAAAGGCAGAACAAAAACTTACTCTCAGCTAGTATAATCTGTCTCCAGGCACAGGATAATGATGAATGCCAGACCATCAAGAGAAGCACCAAAACTGCCCCATTGACAAGAAGAGAAATGTGCTCCCCAATGCAGTGAGCTCAAGAGCATCCAAAGGGCAGTGACTTGGCTCAGTACACTCATGAGTGGGGAGCAGAAACCATAGTCAAGTAATTCTGCAGACAGTCAACCTCCAAGCTGCCTCCTAGAAACCTGCTCCTTAGAAAGAATTAATGGCATCTTCTAATTTCTACAAGCACTCAGTGCCAGGACAAGTACCAGCATATTTGGAAAGAGAATTTGGAGGCTGGACAAAAGTAAAGTTAGTTCAAAGAGTGGTTCAGGAGCTGAAAGTACTACCATTTTGCTCAGCAGTAACAAGGCTGTTAGCACAAAAAAGCTTCTGTGGCAGGTTTCGGCCATACCTATCACAGCCAGGCCACAAGTACCAAAGCAAAGTGCCTACAAAGAACTCAGCAATGCTGTATGCCTAAAACCTTGCGTTCTTAAAAAAAAAACAACCACCCCCCCCCCCCGCCCCCAACTCTTCAGCCAGTATGCTCCTGCTTATTTGAGAAGGCTGAGAGAAACTGAACGTATGGAGAGCACACCCTGACCTACTACATGCGTCTCAGATCACTGCTGAGGATGCTGAGGTGAACAAGCATCCAGTTCTAAGCATTCATGACACCCAATCATTAGAATATCAATGGACACACAAACTATTCACTCACAGAAAAAACAGGTCCAATGGCAGATCCAATGCATTTCTATGCACTAATAATCACAAGGAATACTTGCTCGTATACTATCAATACATTTCAATCATGTTATTAAAAATGTAAAATAAACAAAAAGCCTCATTCACACCCATGCCACACAATACAGAAACGTACCTCAACAAACCTCTTGTAAAAGAGGTAATTCAGAGTTCTCAAGTGCCGCTGATTTATGACATTAGGGCAGAGACCTAAAAGAAGGAAAAAGACATTTAAGTATACAACATAGCTGAACTTCCTTGAAGTTTTACTGTCTAGACATTACATTTTTCCTTCCCCAATTTCAAACTTGCTATGTTGAAGGCAGGATGCCATCACACTTGGAACAATGACGGACAGACACACACATTGTCAGCTTATCTAAACTATAAACTGTTATTTACACTTTCAACCATGGTTAGCAATGCTAATCTTCGGCTACTGATAACTCTCGTTCTACCACCCTTGAATGATAAGATCCACTTGTTGGTTCAATATGCTTCCCAGTCAATGACTTCATACCTTTAATTAGGTAGCATCCTCATACAGGCACCACCTCTAGTTTCTAGAGGCTGCATTCTTTTTGATTTAATTGGAACCTGTGCTGTTAATTCATTGAAGCAGTTTTGAACTTGTTACTCAGGATGTAAACTCGTGGCTAAAGTTTATCGGATAAAATATACATCCATGAAAGAAACTCCATATCCATACAAAGAGGGAGGCGACTATTTTTTTGCTGAGCTAGCAAGCAACAGTTGTTGTTATTATTTTTATTACTGTCATCTTCATTAGATATGCCTCATTACAACTGCAAAAAACAAGACCTTCACATAGCACCTTGTTTTGAAATCCAGTGCAATGAGAGATAAACGCAGAAGATAAAATACATTAACTAGGATTAGCATACGTATCTGTCAGTTCTTGCTAGATGCTGGTATGCATATACAGGGAGAGATTTAACCAAAGCCTTCACTGGGGTTTCAGTGGCTAAAACCATCTCGCTGGTAGTCAGAAGGAGCAGGACCAGCAATCAGAAATGGTAACAGAAAACGGTAAAGTGACAATTCTCTGCAGCCTCCTTTGAATCAGCATACATTGGGAGAAAACAGTGTTACCAACTCAAAAGGGCCTCAGAGCTTAGCACTCTCCATGCCCCACATATGGCATGCCCAATGACTGAAAACTAAGAGAATGAAGAAAGATGTCTAAATACCAGACTTGGCATCAGAGGGATATGAATTGCTGTACCACTGGTTACTGCAGCTTCTCAGAGTCTCTTGAAGCATCACTTCATAACTTGAACATTTCCATCTCAAACAGAAATGTTTAAAGCTGCTATTTTTAAGTTAATCTTCCACGGCGTGACAACATATCCTTGCCCTCAAAGGATCTGAGGAAATTATTGCAATTGTCCCGCAGGATGTTATCCCAGTAAATATGGTGAGCTTTCCTCCGGATATTATCCCAATATCCGTAGGAAAGATCAGCAGCTCATGGAAAGCAACACCCTTTAAAAAAGGTAAGATCAACATCAAAATTTAATAATATCACCACGTAACTTAAAGATTTCAAAGCACTTCAGAAATAAAAACAGCATGGCTGCTCTAGGTCACCAAAAAGATCCATTGAACATTTTCTGTGAGCTTCTAGAGGAAATGTCCAAAGCACAGGACTTTGCAGAACTGAGGGATTTTAAGTGCCCAGCTATCTGTGCAGAAAGTAGGACAGAGGAACACAGATGGACTGAAACATTTCTGAACGCACCAGTGACATTTTCTGTTCTGATAGAGCAAAGGAACTGGGCTTAGATCCAGTTTTCTATATTTTATTACAAAAAAGAGAGGACTAATCACAAACATGCGGATGAAAGGTAACTTAGTTAAATGAAGAGTTAAATTAAATGAAATGAACAGTTCAAAGCTCTAAGGAAAGGAAGAACAGCAAAATAAAACCAACAGAATGGACTTCAATAAACTCAGAGGACTGGCAGGTAAGATTTCACCTGAAAATAATTTATAAGGGGAAAAGGAGTTAAGAAGAAGTGGCAATGGAAAAACTGGCAGTGAAGTAAGAGACTAACTGCTAAATCGAAGCTTTTATTGATCTCAAACACAAGAAATTAGAAGAATGTGGAAACTGGATCACACACATACAAAAAGGACAGCACAAACACATAAAATCAGAAAGCCCAAAGTAAAATGTGAGATGCATCTACCAAAAGCAATAAAGGCAAAAGAAATTCCAGGTAGCCTTTTGGAGGTAAAACCCAAACAAACCCCAACAAAAGCCTAATGGCAAGACTAGAGAAACCCACAATATACACTTATTTCACTCATATAACATTGCTAAGATGTGTCTACTGGGGACATGGTGCAATTTATTTTTAAGTGTGGTACATGGCTACCACTCCCAGGTGATACGTGATGCCTCCTGCCCTAGGATGGGGACCCAATCCTCTCTTTTACACTGCACTGAAAGCCTGACTTCCATTCACAATGAGACTCCTTCACCCTGTTCTGGCAGAAGGTCCAGATAAAGCATACTTTGTTTGGGGACAAAGTAAAGGAGCCTTTTAAAAATAAAATCAAGGTACCTGAAATGCTAGAGGCTTTTACCCTGGTATTGCTAAGAATTGCCAGGGAATCTGATGAGAAGTGAGCTGTGCATTAATGTCTCAGTGTATTATGAGATTAGTCCCTAAGTGCGACTTAGTGGAGGGTAGGGCCGGACTCAAGAAAACCTCTTTTTGTGGTAGCCTGATGCATTAGTGTCTCTCATAAAATGCTCTGTGCCACTACAGATCAGGGTCAGCAGTCCTCAGAAAGGAAGGTGAAACAGCAGAAGCACCAGACTAGCCCCAAACCCCTGAGCTACCTACTAGCTTTGAAGCTGCCTGGAGCACTAGCTGACTGGAGAAGAATAGAGAGCATAGCACAAGGGGTTTGATCAATGCCTAAAGGAAAAAATGCTCCGGTGTGGTCTTTAGACACATATCTGGGTACGATGAATTCATGTGCAGAACTGCAAGGGTGATGTTAGTTTTTCCAATGAAAAGCTTGGAGCTGCTGGCCAGCTTGTCTTGGTCTAGAGCAGATCATATTCTACTGCCTGTACTTCAGTAGACAAAAATATAGCTGAGAAGGTAAGGGCCCAGAGAGGACCCTGGCATGTTCAATCCCCTTCTCCTTCAGCACCTTGACTCTGCGGCCACTGCAACCTCAGGAGTGGATGGCTCCTATCTTCTGACACCTAAGCCTAGAGGTTCTTCTCAGTCACAGTGCTATATAAAGATGTGCTGGTATTTAATATGAGAGCTAAAAAACTCTGAAGGAAAGTCAGCGTGGAATTAGGGGGGAAACAACCCTTGTAAAGCAAATGTAAAGGAAAGGAATAACCTTCTGCTCTGTTTTAATGAGGAAAAGGTAAAAACATTTGAAATTTCTTCCTTCCAAAGGCACTCCTGTAGAGTTATAACAGCCATTCCTCTCTCTCTAACACAGCATCTTTTGGAAGTGCCTTGTGTAGACTCCCGCGAGTCCCTGCTGGAGCTCTCCCTGGTGACTGCTCTGTGATGTGCTCGCCGATCTGGCAGACCTGATGAAGTCCGAGGACAGTTATGACTTACCTGAGCAGATGCCCAGACTGCTGAGCAGCCCTCGTCTGCCCCCTACTGCCCCAACACTGACGGAGTGATAACGCTTTATCTCGGAAATCAGTTCTGGGGCTTAATAAGGAAGATTCATACCAAATTGAAATTAAAGGTTAAACCAAAAGGATAACCTGGTGGTCAAACGTAGAGAAGCATTTCTCTTAGTTGTCCTGGTTTCAGCTGGGATGTAGTTAACTGTCTTCCTAGTAGCTGGTACGGTGCTATGTTTTGAGTTCAGTATGTGAAGAATGTTGATAACACTGATGTTTTCAGTTGTTGCTCAGTAGTGTTTAGACTAGAGTCAAGGATTTTTCAGCTTCTCATGCCCAGCCAGGGCACCTGACCCAAACTGGCCAACAGTGTATTCCATACCATGGGACGTCCCATCTAGTTTAGGAACTGGGAAGTGGGGGGCAGGGATTTCGTGGCTCAGGGACTTGCTGGGTGTCGGTCGGCGGGTGGTGAGCGATTGCCCTGCGCATCATTTGTACATTCCAATCCTTTTATTACTACTGTTGTCATTTTATTAGTGTTATCATTATCATTATTAGTTTCTTCTTTTCTGTTCTATTAAACCGTTCTTATCTCAACCCAGGAGTTTTACTTCTTTTCCTGATTTTCTCCCCCATCCCACTGGATGGGGGGGGAGTGAGTGAGCGGCTGCATGGTGCTTAGTTGCTGGCTGGGGTTAAACCACGACATTAGTTTATGCTAAAAAAACTTTTTAAAGACTATGGTAAAAACGTGTTCATAGCATTCAAAACTTAAGGTGCTCAGCTAATTTATTACACTGCTACAGGACAACAGCAACTGTTAACTGTACCTTCAACTACCATCTCTTTTCTACCTATTTTCTGCTTTATTGTCGTATAGGCACTAAGGCTCAATATATGAGGACAGTTATACTTTTCAAAGTGGTATCATTTCTACCTCATACCCAATGAATTTTCAATGAAAAATGCCACTGAACTCTCTGTGGTGTACTGGCTGTACAAAACCACAACAGAAAATACTCAACCATTTCAAACCTAGGTAGGGCCTGTTCCCTCATCTCTGAGAGCTGTGTTGACTGAAACTTGCATTTGTAAATCTAAGTCAATCTCACAGGGTCTCCAAAGAGTAATAAGTAACTAGCCCGCAAAAGCTACAGGCTTGTTAAACCAGAGCATACTGACCTATGTGCGAGAAAAGACTCTATAAAATTAAATTTCCTCAATCACATACCATTTCTGACCAACTTCTTCCTTCCCCAATAAAGCTAATTAAATGGAATCCACACACAGTTTATTGGGACACTTTTGGGACTCGCAGAAAATCTTCCACTTACCATGCAGTGTTTTGTGTGTTAACAGGAATACTGGAATACAGTTCAGAAAAAGAAAGGACTAATCTAAGATGATGGTGCTTTTTTTTTGCTTGAGGTCCCACATCTTTTTTATATTGGGCCACCTCCTTTCTGGCTCTGAAATTTAAGACTGGCAGTTTCAAGGAGTGTTTCAAATCTCAATGGCTGATCAACACCTAAGTTTTGCTTAGCAGTCAGTGAATTTACTGTGAGTGGGTACGAGTGAGCTTGGGTACTGAAATATGAAAGTAGATTTGGAACTGCAAGAACTGAGTCATATACAAGTTTGCCTTCTCATACCAAGAAACCCTGTCCTCCTCCAGCCTTTCTCACCAAAAGCCACTTCCCTCTTCTGCTGCTGCTCTCAGCCTCTTTCAGCGAGTAGGAGTCATGAGTGAAGAGGAGATAGAAAGCAGCAGAAGACTGCGGCATCAAACAAGCCCACAATCAGGTTAGGTAACAAGAAGTGTGAGTTTTACCTCACTGCTAGCTTTTGGTGGAACTGCTCAGAACAAGAGAAATGAGGGGTTTTTAAATCTGTATGTTTTACCTAGCCTGCTTCCTTTTTGTATGCTCTTTCCTAACAGTCAGATTTACTTCCACTAAAGAATGGAGAAAGAACACCCAGAAATTCAGAGGAAGGGAGGGGAAAGAGGTGGGAGGAAAAGGAAAGCCATGTTATTCCAGCTGCCACCATTTCCCAATTCAGTTCAAGCAGGACCAGCACTAAGGCAGAATTTCCTCTGTAGGCATTCATCCCCTTCCAGAGCATTTCAAAGGAGACTAAGACGGCCACAAGTTTAAGTTTAGCAAAGTGTGAAGTCCTCCTCTGAATTACATGTGGTATTATGAAAAAAATAAACATCTACTTTCATCTATTGGACTATGAGAGTCATCCAGCACCGGTTTTAGCCGCCCCAAATCTGGCATCTTGTCTAAATCAGTAGCCCACATTCCCCCTCACATCAACAGAGGTGGACAGCCCTCTCTAGCAAGTGACTTATCTTGCACTGTAGACACTGCAGTTTGCACAGGATAGATCACTCTCTGGAAGCACAGGCAGGAATGGGATCTGCATCTACCTCAAAGAACCTCCTCATGAGTGAATGTGTTGTGGAGGACCAGCAAGATTTGGCCATTATTATCAGCAGCTACAACATCTGAAACGCCATCACGAGGCTGAGGGACACTACCACCCCACAGAGAGCACCTGAGATCAACAGCTACATGCTCCTCTCCTAGATTTTTTTTTTTTCAATTTCTCAGGATTTTGCATATGAACAGTTATATCATTTCACCTCTACAGTTAATATCATACCCTTGGTGGATATTTCGTAAGAAAAAGGGAACAACTCAATTCTCTTTACAGATCATAAAAGCCAACCTTGCAAAGGAAGAAAAATTATTGAAGACTAGTAAACTCCTGGGAAGGTTTTAGATTTTAAATAAATCACCCCCTATATGTCTCAGCTTTCACACCAATGTGCTAAGTTTATGTTTACTTATCCTCCAATGAGGGTTTGTAAGGATTATCTTACTAACTTTTGAATACCAGTCTGAAGATGTGAAGATTAATATGCAATATAGTGTTGCTGCCAGATGTAATAAGCCCACAATTTGTGGTTAGAAAACACTTTTCAGTCCAAGAAAAGAGAATTGCATATCTAGGGCTGATGATGAAAAGCTTTGCAGGTTAAAACACAATGGTGCACCTAAAGGTCTCTGACACAAGGTCCCAAAGAGAAGAAAAAAAGATCAACAGTCCCCGCTAACAACCAAAGCAAAATAAAGTAGATTTTGTTAGATAACTGGTAGTGAAGCAGATCTATTCAGTGATGTAAAATGTGTTACTTCTCTCAGAAGGCTGTAAGAGCCTTAAAATTCCCTACCACCAACCCTAGTTTATGCAAAGAATACAAAGGACTATGAGGCTCCTGCTTCCCAAGGGTTATCTCTTCCCAGCTGACGGACCCATAACTCAAGAAAACAGATCCCCAAATGAATAATGACTTGCCTCTTATGTGAGTGGAATGGAGTCATAACTCAAAGCTGACCATCATGTGTTTACATAGAGCCATTCTGAGGTCAAGATTTATTTCATATCATGGAAGAAGCAGTCTATCAGTCACAAGCACTGCATTCTTTGACAGCACAAAGTGATAATTCCCATAACTTACCAGCCTTGTTTTTCAATATTATTAATTAAACCCTTAAACTGCCCGTGATAAATTACAGGACAGATTCCTTGCTGAACATGGAAGAAGACAAATTGACTTCATCTGTTCTTTATTGGTGAGATAACTCTACAATATGTTGCAATATCACATACCTGGATCCACGTTAAATCGGTCTAGGAGCCTGAAGACCAGCTTGCTTAGCATTTTGCGGTTAAATTTATCTGGTTTGTACCTGGACAGGCCTTGATATTGTCTGTAAGCAAATAAACAAAATCAGAAAGAAACATCTGTGGAATCACCTTAAGTATGTTTCCCAAATAGTAGATATTTAGTACAGGTATTAGGGTTTGCTAGGTGTTAGTAAGAACAGTCCACTACCTTTTCCAAGTTACAGCAAAAAGCCAACAATACAACCACACAAATATCCCAGTCAATGACTGAAGCGAGTCCAGAGGCTTATTTTAAAGAAAGAGAAAGCAAGCAATTCCCTCTCGTCTTTTTTCAGAACTAAGACTGCAACTACTGCATCTACCCTGCGAGTTTGACTGTACTGTTGGCTTTGTAACTGACAGAAGCTATTCTAGTGAGAAGCAATTTATAAATTAAAACACACACGACCATTTCATGAGCACATGAAGGTTAACCACTTGCATCTCTTGTTTTTCTGCCACTTCATCACAGTATTATCTTCCTGCAAAACCTGTACAACCGATACTGAAACTCACCCTTGTCTGCAGCAAAGCACGAGAGTCTGATTGCTACAATGTCCTGGAGGAAGCTTTGATATTGTTATATTGCTAAGATCTACTGCACAGGTTTCATTTTGCACTGCTCTCTCCTGGCAGGAACTGAGCATCTGTCAATAGGAATGATAACTCTGTCTTATGGGCTGAGGTGTTTGAGAAGACTCTGGCACAGATACCAGAATTTCCCCTTTCTCTGCTGAAAAGTAAATACATTGCACTCCATTACACTGAGAAATGATCTTAGATAGACAACCAGAGAACATACTGTCCTCTGACAGCAAGTTGGCCCCAGATGTTTAGAAAGTCAACAAGCATTTCTACCTTGTGACGTCTCTGATATTAAAACCAGGTTCACACCATGTGTCCAGAATCTGCAAGAGCTTGCTCTGGAGCTCAGGATATTCTCCCACATAATCTTCCACCAAGTTAGTTTTATCTTGGAGCAGTAGTGGCGTACACATCTAGAAGAAGAAATTACATTTAAAGCACTGTGTCCTGCCTTTGATCACCATGTTCCGCAGACTGAGCACTGCAGCACACAGAAGGCACGGAGGAGGTCCATGACATTGCAGACTGAAACCTGGCAGAGGGCTGTCCCATTCCCTGCTGCTCAGACATGGCGCACAAGTCACAAACACCCTGCTTAATCGACCAGTGCTGCCTAAAAGAGTGATGTGACATTTTTAACACAAATATTAGCAAAGCTTCAAAATAGCAGAAGCACTAAACTCCATCATAGTGATAACCATTTGTCAAGAACACAGCTAGAATTTTTTGTAACGTGGCTGCAGCTAGAAAAATAGACCAGTAAGCTGCAATGGGGTTTAACAAAATACATTCTGTCACTTCCCTAGATGTAAAGGTACATCAGCAATGCAGTGGTTACTTCTTGGGAACAAAAAAAAAGCCTCAAGTGAAAGGCAGCACAACTTGGAGGGCCTTGATGGATCTCCTGCTTAACAAAAGGTGGATCTGATGACAGAGAAGCCTGCAGAGGAAATGACTCACCTTCTCCACATCTTGATCTGGCTGTAATTTTAGCTTAATACTCAGTATGGCTGCCTAGAAAATACAAAAAAAGCTGTGTATTTAGGAGAAAAACACCACAGTGGATAAATGGGCATTATTCCAAAGCGAAGTATATATGCTATTATCCAAATTTTTAATGTGTTAATTATTTCTGTTAAATTTTCAAGTATAAATCATATAAACATTTGGCCACATACATTCCGCTTAGAAATGTGCAAAACCACTCTTGGTAGAGTTGCATATTCTGAGCAGCAGCATACCCTGGAGCAAAAATTAAAGATCAAGTTGTCTGGCAGAAAGAAAGAAAGAAAACTGCTTGGCCAAAATCAGCTAAGATGGATATTTTCTACTGATATAATTGTAAAAAACACCTGACCCACCACACCTTTCTGAGTTAACTTTATCCATCTTGCTGTGCCTTTTAAATTTTGTAAAATGGTTGCATTTTGTGAAAGAAACTTAAGATTTAAAAGACCCTGAAATCAAGAGGTCTTAGTTTTTATAATTTCTGCGTAGCTCCACACATTCAGAAAGATGGTAAGAACTGTATTTTTCCTTTTTGTGATATCTACAAATCTTTGATAAGCCGAGACCTGCCACGTTCCCAAATTAACTCTAAATCAGTACTTCTGCAGATGAGGAAACTCTGCTATAGTGAACGGCAGCAACTCAGACTGTGAGCAGAACTGGTTCAGCCACTGCCTATCCTGTCCCAGTCTGATGATTACAGAAATGTATTAAGATCTAACTGTGCATTACTTGAGAGGCATATAAACTAATTAGGATTTTAAGAAGTTAATGGTGTCTAATTTCTGTAGTGTGTGAGAATACTTGGATCTCAAATACAGAGTAACCATATAATGGCTTTCTTTAATATAGTGTATTGTTCCAGTAAATAGAGTAATAAGAGCATAGAGCCTTCTAGAGCATTTATGTGTTAGTACTGACGTTCCTGTGAGCTAGGTAACAAGGATGTTTTACATGAAGTGTCCTTCGAATTCAACTTTCCAAAGTTAGGCCATACTTTCCAAAACAGTTGTAAACACTGTTTGAAAACATGTCTGACCCTACTGCAGCATGCATGTAATGCTAAGCAACAGCAAGAGAGAGTATGTAATCAACTGAGTTCACAAATGCCTAGTTATTCAGATGAGGACACAGTGTGTTAGGGCTTAGAGGAAAAGCTCTTATCTTCAACAGGTTTCTCTGCTGTTTGTGATTGATTTTGCTTTGTGAGAAGATCATGAAAATGATGGATTTGTTTGTCAAAATAGTTGCATTTTAAAACTGTGTTATTTGTTAGAATGTGTAAACAAATGTAATACAGTAAAAAATGTGCATTCCCCCCAAGCAAATGCAAACCTCAACATTATACTTCACATGCGTGAAACTTTATAGCAAAATTTAACTAGAAAAATAACCTAAGTGGGGGTTGGAGCACACCTTGAAACACATTTTCTGTGATCTCTCCTAGCATTCAAATGACACCTCAACTTAACTCATCACTGGAAGCACATGTTCTGCAAACCCAGCCAAGCAACACAGACAAAACCTAACAGCTCACCCGAGCATTGCTCACAGCAGAAGCTGTGGGTTACATTACCTTCTGGGAAATTCGTGCATGTATTTCATCCACTGCATCAAAGACTGAGTGTACAAAAGCAGACTACCAACACACACCATGTAAGTTCAATTGTTCAATCTTACTGCCCAGAAAGAACAGAAATACCCAGTTATCAGTGGAAAAATATTTTTTTTCTGTTTGTTTTGATTTGGGTTTTGGTTTGAGGGCGGGGGGTGTTGGTGTGGCAGGGGGTGTTGTTTGTTTTTTTAACACAAAATGAACACTGTGTCACTGACAGTCCAGGCTTCATCCCAAAAAGAGAAATCAACAGAAGAGCTTTAAGTGACAAAAGCAGGAACTAACATTAATGCACTGACTGTATGCTATAAACCAGATATTGAATAGAAAGGCACATTATCATTTCTGAGCCCAGCTAAATCTTCAATCAAATCACTCTCTTACTCCAGTCTTTACAACTATTCCACCTGTTTAGAGACTAATATGCTACTCTGCTCCACAAGCATCAAGTACTTTTTCTCTCAAATTATCAGATTAACATCACAAAGTTCAAACTGAGTAATTATTCTCAACTTGTATACAAGCTGAAGGTTGCTACTTCTGTTTTGTACTTGAAGAAGGGTTTTGGGTCTTCAAAGCTTTGGCAGCTAGTTTTATTTTCCTCCCAGGTATCTCAGTTTGCTGAATTAAAAAAAAAAAAAAGAAAAAAGAAAAAAAAGACTTGCAACTCTCAAAATCTTGTTTCACCATTTGATCTCATTAGTAACTTTTATTGAACAAGTAATCCGTTAGTTTTAACATGCAAGCATACAATGGTTTCCCTAATAGCTTTTTAATGTTCACATGCATGTTCAGATTAACCTAATTGCAGAACTGTTATCTAAATGGCATAGTTTTATCTCCATCTCTATTAACCGTACAGGTGACTTAATCGGATGAACAAGTGCCTTGTCAGGTTAGGTTTTCCTCTTTTACTGGATGTGTCCTCTTTTACCCTGTACCAAAGGGTGTAGAGCAAGCAATATTCATTTAGCCAAAGTGTGGAGAGACATCGCCTTCCAACGCCAGCTGTGGCAGACCCAGCTCACACCATCACTGCTGTAGGTCAGAGGAACTTGAAGCAAATCACGCAAGCTGGCTTTTAACATCATTTTAACATCACCCAGCTAAAGTAGGTGATGGAGCAGTCAAACAAATTGTGCTGCTGACAGAAACTTCCCACAGCAGGGAACACCGTCCCCAGCAGGGCAGCAGCCTTGTCCATGCACAAAGCTAAACGTGGAAGGACACACATGACCTGGATCCTAGGAAAAAACAAGCAGGCTGGATTGCAGGGTGTAGTTACATGGGCTGGCTGGCTGAATAGCGAGGACAACCGAGATAAAATCAGCGTGTTTACAATAGGAATAATAAGAGAAGAGATATGAGTAACTGTAATAAAGATGAAAGTGTTTGGCAGCTGTATCTGTGGTCTCAACTTAGAGCTATTTTAAGATTTTGTTTTGTTGTTATCATGTTTTGAATTGTTTCACTCCACAAACAAGTTTTGTGTAAAACGACCCTATTTTTAACAGTCTGTTTATAGATAAGATCTCCAGAAAAGCAACACCTCATTCGCAGACTCATTTTGTAGTTAGAAAACAAACACTTTAATTAGGCAGACAGCATGCTGTAACTGAAATGGTGAGAATCCCCCTCCCCACCCAAGAAACACGCATTTCACCACACACGGTGCTGCACTCCCAAGCTGTGCGGGAAGACTAGCCAGGGTAGCTGGAAGCTAACTATCATGTTAATCCAACTCCAGATCCTCAGACTCGGGTTGGATCAGCAGGGTGACAAAAAACCTAAGCAGCAGATACCTCCCCCACTTCACCAGCTGATCCATAACAGCAAAAAACCTAGCTACGACGCAGGAATGGGGAAAAGCTCTGGTGAATGCTGAGATATTGTCAGCTTATCAGGGTCTACTCACCCTCCCTCAAGCTATAAAGAGAACATGTTATAGTCTTGACTGGTGGTACAAGTAGCCCTTTCGCAAAAATACATTTCATACATAAGAGATTTTCTAGCATGTAATCTAGTAACAGCAAAGAATTAGCATTATTAGCATAATTGATACACATAAAAGTGTTTAACCTATACTAAAACCCTCCTGCCCCAGATCATAACAGAAATATGGAAAAGCGTGGTCCCTCTCTTGCCTTGCATGCCCAGGTACGTAATAAAGCCACTGCTTAGTACAGGAGAAAAGGCGATGACCCACTGCCTGATTCAAATCCCATCAAAGTTTGTGAGTCTTCTCATTGTCCTCAGGGAGCTTTGGGTCATTGATTTAATTATGGTGAAAGCGAAAATCATATTTGGACATTTTGTAATAGTGTTGTTTCCCAAGGATAAACATCCAAAAATATAGCAAAGGAAGGTTGGATGAGGATGGGGAAGAATTCAAAGCTGGGCAATGCTATATTAAATTATATCTAAAATGCATGTAGGTGCATTGACCATAGGATGGGGGAAGTTACCCAAACTTGACACATTCATGCCAAGTCACAAGCATCAGACCACTCTTCTAGTCATTGCAATTGCAACATCAAGAGTATGGGAAAATGGGGAGTGTTCTGAAGTGAACACACAACCCCAGAGCACCCTGCACCAATACCTGATCTTCTCTAATTGTTTTGAATGCAATTGGCTCTGTCTCATCTAAAAATGACTATTCTTTCCATATACAGTATGAAGTGCAGGAAGCCACACAAGATCTTATCTGCAAGGGCATGTGCACTTGGGTGGTGTCTACACTGACAATTTAGGCAATTTTCCCACGGTGGGGTTAGCACCAGAGGAATAACCTTTTGCTAGTAGCACTGCTTGGAGTGATGATGCAGGACAGACACAAATGGTTTCTGATGACTCCTGCATTACTTAGCTCTGCTGCAAGCAAGTTGGGACAACACAAAAGTAAATATGCTTGTGCCTGACTTAGTGTAGTATTTCTGAACCAATGGTGAAGGAATTTCTGAAAACCCATAGAATAGACCAAACAACAGAATGAGACTTTGCAGATGAGGATCCAATGTCAACACTAAGAAAATCACAGTGATCAAAGCCTGGATACATAATAATGGTAGAAATAATTGAGTAAAAGGCACACCACTTATTAATCATCAGGAACATCTGTTTTGTGTTTTGGAATCACTCATTTCAAACTTGTGGCTAATCAGTTTTGCTCAAACTCTTAGAGTACACCACTGCATAGTGTATGACATCAGGTTAGATGTTTAATTACTTCCTGCTGAAAGAGCATACAATATACACAGCTGTCTTCGGGAAGATCTTCAGAAATGAGAAAAACATGAGATTTCCCAGGTCCACTTTCAAGAGAGCATAAACATATTTTACAAGGAGTGAGACTGTCAAAATGAAGTAGTCACAGGTTACTCATATCTAAAGAATTTGAGGTAGAGAAGTAAAAGTCAAGGTTGCAGTATGTGTGTGCACAGGTAAAGGGAAGAGGGAACTGAAACAAACACTTCCGTGATTTGTTTTCCTTACGTCACTCAAAGCAGTTTTAAACCTGGTTTAACTGGTCAGTACATCCTCACAAATGAGTGATCCTCTGGAGCGCTGCCCAAGTTTCCTGTGCACACAGGCCACCCACCTTCACCAGATCCTCCAGATCCAGACTTCCTGTATGGCTAGATCTGCTGCACATTTGCACCTCTTCTCCAAGAGCCCGCTTGCTTGACGAGAGCCCAGAAATCCTGGCAGAATACTACCATCTGAATTATTATTTCCCAGCAATACTCAAGCTCCTTCCCAACCACTTCACCAGACAGATGTCCATAGCAGAGGCAGCTGCAGAAGACATGGTGTTTGGGAGCAAGCAGCAGAGTGGCATGAATCTTGCAGGCAACGTGCCATTAAAGCTGTCCTTTAGCGGTAGATTAAGTTAATAGGAAAAAAAGGTTGAGACTGACATCATCATCTTTACATGAGAAACATCCCCTGCCACATTTTCCTTGTTTTTCTTATCAATTATTATTTTTAATTTGAAAGAAACAAGGGAATTCAAATGCACACACTTTAAAATACAGTAAGAGTTGAACAAGGCTTTGTAATTAAAGTGGTGAATGGGGGAAAGAAGCAATATCAGAGACATTTTCATTGTCCTGAGAACAACTCAAAAAAGTCAGAGTGAAGAATCCAAAATCTGAATATCCATTGATGTGGTCAATCAATCTTAACAGTGATCTGTATTGACAGATTTGCAAAAATACACCATGTGTACTCAAGCACCATGTATGAAGTAGGACTACAAACAATAACATCCCCGAATCGGTGTTCAAAACGTCACTACACTGAAAATCAAAGGTCATGTAGGTGATTGAACTATGCTTTTCTACACCTTAGCATATTTGTATTCCTTTAAGTTTGGTCAACCACCCTTTCTACCAAATTATCAAATTACTTCTGGAGTAGTATGTATTGCTGACAAAAACTTTGAATTCTGTGTCCCCAGAGCTTTTTCTCTGGGTACTCCAACTTATTTTATGACAAATTTTATCAACTGAATTTTAATAGATAATCCACATTATCTTAATTGAAAGAGCAAATATTAACTGAATTTAACATATAGAATAAACTTTCATTATTTGTAGAAATTAACGGATGAAACTTTAGCAGAAAAAATATACTCTACTTTTATAAATAGATAAATCTGGGTGGACAACAATAAAAAAAACCTGTTAAAAATTAAATACTCCCTGTCCCACTAATAGCTTAGTCCAATAGTCTTGTCTAAGAACCAAACTGATGAAGGGGAGAAAAATGCTGCTAGTCACCAATACAGAGAAGTTGGAGTGGGAGCTCTCTCAGGCCCAAGAATATTTCTGGTTGTCAGAGGCTAAAAAGATTATTTATTGTTTCCTTCCTAAACCCAGCTCCACTGCCACCTGTTCAGAATTTACTATAAAGCTGTTAAACAAGACGAGAACTTTGATGCTGACTGTGAAAACAAGTTTCACTGTATCTGACCCGAGCAGCACTCACTACTGATCCAGAAGCAAAGGAATTTGATTTTTTTCTTTAAGCACAGCTATCTTTTTACCTTTATAAGCTGTTTAAAAAAATGTAAATAAAATAACTCAGTGGACAATAGAGGGCATTCATCCCACAGAAAGACAGCCGCCACCCTTAGACATGAAATATCGCAGCACATTAAGTCATGAGACCCCGCTAATCAAAGCTGACAGGGCCCTGAATGTGATTTCTGCTGAGACTTAGCGATATCATGGGGCACTGAAGCATGCAGAGCCTGCCAGACTGCCCCTGTTCATGTGACAATGGCTTTTATTCCCGAAAGGGGCCTGCGAGTGACAAGAGTCCCCTTTGTCTTTAGGCTCCTGCATTCGCAGTGCAAGAGAGGTTCATTCAACCAGCCCCAGACACTCTTTGAAAGGCTGAAGTGTAACATAAGATGACCATGAAACACTAGCTTGCCTTCTGCCTATCCCTCATTCTTCTCAAGCACAGCCTGGCCTATTCAGGGCCTCTCACAGACTCGCTCGCACTGCATTACCCCCGGTCTGCTGAATCCCCGCATTGTCCCGGCCCCACCGGCAGCCATCGCCCTTCCCACAAAGCCGTCCACCCGGCAGCCCGACCAGGCTCCGGCACGGCCCGACAGCCTGGGTCAAGGACCGCGTGGAGCCACGGCCTGCAGCTTCAGAGGGTGTCTGGGAAGGGGACAAAGCCGCTGCATCTCACCTGAAACTACCTGAGCGGGAACGTGAAACCCTTCTGCCTCTTCATGCCATGTGGGCCATGAAAAGCAGACCCGGGAGCCCCCTGCACAGCTCCAGAGCGCTCTGCACGGCCCCATGCTGCCATACTCCTCCAGCAGCTGTGATCTCCATTCACAAAAGAACGGATAAAAACCCCAAACAGGCCAGACACCTCAAAAACCCACTTACATGTCCCTGCTTTTTCCTTTAACTCTCACAGTATCAGCTTGTTTCTCTGCATCATGGGAGCACTAGTGCCATCCGCTGGCCAGCGCTCCCCATCAGGTGCCTCCTCACCACAGCGACTATTTTATACTGCTAAATCAGAATAAAGTTATCTTCCCCCAACCCCACCATCGCCTGTGCACAGGTGATGGTTTTCCTGTGGCCCCCAGGACACCTGCGCCCTGCCCCCCTCAGGCGGCCCTCCCAGCAGCTCACTGCAAAACTCCCGCCTGCTGCGATTCACAACCTGGTTCAGCTTTTGACCAGCTCTACTAAAACAAGGCGTACGGGGAGGGCCAGATGTGGTTCAGAAACAAGTAACCACCATGGCTGTCCCCAGGGACCTCCGGGATCTCATTTTCTGAAGAAATCTTTTTCCAAAAGCTCCGTGAGGGAAAGGAGCCTTAACCCATGGGGCAAAGCTGGGGACCTTCATGGCTCGCACACCACAGTAGGAACTGCATTAAAACAGGCGAAGGAATAACGTGCTCTAGAATAAATGCCTGGTGTCTTGTTGTAAATACAGCAAGAAAATAAATAATGACAGCAAGGATTTATAAGGATTTCTGTCTTTTCTGGTGACAGACAGAGGAGCTAAAAATCCCACATGTGAATCTGCTTTACTGCCCCATCTCTCAGATGGGGAAGAGCAGGACGAACAGACACACCACAGCCCACTACAAGTCCTCAGAGCCCTAGTTCCATGGTTTTGGGGGTTAGTTGCTGTGAACTTAGGTATGATCAGTCCCCAAGGACAGTAAAAGATTTCCTGTTATTCTTGAAGATAATTCTATTCATCCTTCTGGCAACAAAACAAAACTAGAAGAAAGTTATGGCTGAGGGTAAGCAACAGTTGAGGTTTCCTGTTCTTCACACTGGGAATGACTAGTAAATGAGCTTTTCTGTGGAAGAAAGAACAGCAAAACAATTCCACCAAAAAAAAAAAATTCAGAGCTTTCCAAAACCAGATCTAGAAAGAACTGCATTTCTAATGAAAACAATAAATAACTTCAGAGCCATGACCTTAAAAATCACACTTGAATATAGTCAAATACTACGTTTCTTTTAGGATTTTCAAACACTCATGTTCAAAAACTTATTGAGCTAAAGAGTAAGTTTCAAGCAGCTACCTGTGAACTTCTGATAAAATGTGAAATATCCTTGTTTCAGTATTCAAAGAAATCAACAAGAATGGAATTCCACGATCTCACTTGGGAACTTGGCTTTGCTGAAGAACAGGATTTTAAAAATGCTATTTGATTTTTTTTCTTTTGCTAAATAAGGTCAAGCTGTTCTACACCATCAAAGTGAACCATCTTCCTTTGAGAAAAACAAACCTATGGTTTTTGCCTTTTAAAGCATTAACAGTATTGTAGTTTGCTCATGAGAACACTTGCAAGGCTACCAAGACATCATGGTGATGCCAGAGATGCTGCAAGTACTCTAAACCACAGGGTAAAACATGCCAAATTCTGGTTTTGGTGAACTCCTGCCAGTGTCAGCCACTCAAACTCAAATACATGAGTAGTAACACATTTTGAATATGAGCCTCAATGGTAAAGAGGCTTCGAAACTCCTCAAACTGGAACCCTTTGGTTAGGGTAATCATGTGGGAACAGAGAGATTTTCCAGCCCCTCCTCTCTGCAGGCAGATTGGAGGTAGCACAGCAGGTCTATGACCAACTACTAAAATCCCTTCTTTTCTTGCCAAGGACAAGGAAAACAAAAAAGAACACAACCATCCCCTTAAATTCTCCAAATTAAACCCTATTAACCTATTACTTTCAAAGGTCAAAAAAGGGGTGGAGGAAGGATTCACTAGCATTCTGTACTCAACCATTAGAAAAAATGAGGTTGAACACAGCCTACTCATGTACATGGGAAGACCATGCTAAGCTGTACCATTCACAGTGTGCAGCTGCTGTGATGAAACGGAATTCACATTGAAATGCATCCAAAAAAGGACACAGACTTTAACAGAGAACTAGGGAGCTGGGTAGGTAAATTTATTTGAAAGACATGACCCACCTCTTTGTAATCGCCCTTGTGATAAAGATGACTGACATGTCCAAGCAAATAGTTCCGGTCTGCTGTATGGAGCTGGTAAATGCTAATCAGAGGGTCAAGAAGATTAGCTGGGCAGTGGGCTAGTATTCTGAGTACACGGGCCTGCAGCTTCTTCAGCTTGATGCCAGACTTAAAAAAAAAAAATTAAAAAAAAATCAAACACAGATTTAGTAAAGATGGCTACAATTCAATGGCAGTTGAAAATGCAGCTTGTTTGAACAGTGGAATAAGCCAATTCCCTGGGAAGGGATTCTCCAATTTCCCCATGGAGTCTGCAAGCAGAAATCAGAACAATATGATACACATTTTTTTCACAGCTTCCAATTAAAAAACATTAAATGTTTGCGGGATAATTCTGGAAAAGGCATATGGCCTTGTGCAAAAGTAAAATATGAAACTGGAAAAATGCCCTCTTTTACTAACACAGCTATTTAGAAATTCTCCCCTCTAGTTCCCAGCAGAAAATCTTTGATCCAGCAACTCCCCTCAAGGGAGATCTCACCTATCAGGCATAAGAATTCAATGTTCATTCTCAGGCTTGCTCCTGGGTGCAAGAAGGGCAGGAAAAGCAAAAGCATCATCAAAACATGCACAGATACGTGTATTAATCCTTGTGTTCCCACATAATCATTCTCTTATGACATAGGAATTTCAGTGCCAGTAGCACTTCACTGCACTTTGCAGATACTGTAATGGCAGAGCTCAACAGCTAAAAAGAGCCATTTGGAAAAACGGGAAATGAAACAACACAAATATAAAAGTATCTTGCATTTCAGAGCCAAAAGCATACAAAAAAGAGAAAATCAGTAGGTCAGAATATAAGGCAGCATAAAGAATGGTAAACATTAGGATGTATAATCTGATGACCCAATGTTACAAAGCTAATCATTCAAATGCTGAAAAGTCATACTGTTACCATTTTCTGCATTCCCGATGATAAAAGCTCCCCACCATATGGCAGGAGTTAAGCAATCGTACAGTAACTGGCTTCTATTTGCAGAACTGGAAGAATATGCAGAGTAGATTACTGCAATTGGTTTTATCCTGACAGCAGGGATGTGAGTTCCAGTGGGAAAGCCTCCAGCCCGGCAAAGGCTGCAAGATCAATGTTTGATCAAAGTGGTTTGATCTGGAAAGATGGAAATCCCAGCTTGGAAGGGGAAACAGAGCTCTCGCATCACAGCTTCCAGTATTATTTCATTTTCAGGCCAGCATACAACAGATAACTACGAATTTCACACCTCGTCACACCGTGTTTGTATGAGACTATAGAGAAGACCCAGGACAATGGAATAAAGTGAAATTGGGGACACTTGAGGGACATTAAAATCAATTGCCCTCTCCTTTCTCTGGGCTCTCTTGCTCTCTCTTTTTCTAACCTGTTGAACAGCAGGATGCTCTTTTATCCAAAGCTGCAACTCAGTGGTGATGTAATACCCGAGGGAATGCCCTTTCCCCTTCCAATCACTGCTGCTCTCCAGCATGTCCAGGAGTCCTGCCAATGGGTCCTCCAGTCCTGCAAAGCCCCGCCTGATTTCTTCCTTGAGCTGCTGAGATACAAAACCACATTGTCATGTACAAAGAGATTAGTGAATCCTCCCTTCCCCCAGATGAACACAAAGCTTTATTTTTTTTAATTTAATCTATTCAGAGAGGTAACTGTTGCTATTCAGCCACCATCCGCGCCTCCAGTGACTTTTCATGTCATTACAGATTCCTTCATGGCTCACTGCACCTCAAACCCAATGGGAAAAGCAGCAATTGTCCACACTAATTATCCCATAAAGACAGAGAAGTTGTTCTGTGGGGCAGACAAAGGGACTTGGGATTTGGGGGAGGGGGAGAAAAGAAGTGAGTTGGAGAAAGGGGTGTTATTAGGAAAATGGCAATATTGAAGGTAGATAACTGGGCTCAAAAACCTGCTCATCTTCTAACAGACCTACAAGTAATAAGGCATATAAACCCCTCCTCCTCATTCTTGTACCACAAGCTTTCATGTTTGACCTTATACACACTTTAGCCACAATGGCATAATGCTCCTCAACATAACAGGAATATTTGGGAGTATCAAAATAGTTTGCATTTTACACACAAGATTAAAAAGAAAGAAATCAGAGTTCAAACTCTGTCAGATTACCACCCTGCAAATCTATGCTCCTTTCCTCCAAACCTACCTGAGCAGTGTATTTTCTGCCGACTACCTATTGCCACTGCACATCAGGCACGGCACACCTCCGCAAGTCTAAAGGCCATACGAAGGGACTTGGAACATGGGAAAACTCCATGCCATAAATCTGAGGAATCCCAGGGTGATGTGTTTAGAAATGTGAAGGAATTGGATACTCACTTTGTGAATGTTAATAGGCTACTTACTACCCATCTGGTAGAAGTGATAAATTAGCAGTACTGAGCAATATCTTTATAATGTTTACATTAGAAGTAGTTTCCAAGGAGCTCAGAGGGTTGGCAGGGTGAGGAAGTGGCATCCTTCAGTACCCACACAGGACCTTTCACCGCATGGTACATGTACTGGCATGGAGCAAGGCAAAAGCAGAGACAGAAAACAAGAAATCACTAGGAGCAGCTGCTCTCTTTCTTTTCTGGCTAAAAAGCAAAATCCAAAAGATGCTCATTCCCGCCTGCAGCCAGCACTTGTAATTTACTGTACACGACGGCCCCAGCCATAGCTTCCAATGGAAACAACATAAAGTTTGAAGAACGACATGGAAAACAAAAGAAAATCTACAGAAAATTTGCCAATGAATTTCTTCTTTTTTATTCATGGACAATATTTACTGGAAGACAGTTATTTTCCATAGTGTCTTTCATGTCTGGAAAAACCACAAAACCTATCGTTTATGACAGAAACTGTTTCTTTCTCACTAGATTATCAAATGCAGTATGAAAAAGCTGGTGACTAACAAAGATGTGACTTTAGATAACAGATTTCTCCCTGTAAGTATTTTCCCTGTGAAAAGAATTTGCGATGTTAAACATAGGGCTCCAACTTCACTGTGAGATTCAGCAGAAGGAAAAGGCAAGCTCTTATCCAACCACAAATATCCAACACAACAGCCAAAGGAAAACAAAGCAACTCGCCAACTAAATTGCACTGTTTATAAATGGCCTCTCTTCTTTTTTTCTCCCCCCCCGCCCAAAGCCCCACTTCAGCAGATTTAGACTCAACAAGAGCTTTCACCACACCGCTCAGCTCCTCCTCGGGCTGGAGTCAGAGCCCAGGCTTTGGCAGGATGGGCTCTAGCAGACACCAGGTCCTGCAAGAGCACAAGCCTGCTTTCACAGGCAGAGCATCTCCAAACACCAACACAACTGCCGGGAGCACTAACTGTTGTTATCTAGACTGTCTTGACTTTGTAGCAGCTAGACTTTGACAAGCAGGGGAGAAGCCTTCTTCAAAACTTCCTAGCAATCTGAAGACTTCAACTATGGTACATATAGTTTGAGGGGAAAAAAAACACAGAAAAAAAAAGGCATGAGACACCTAAATCAGAGAGGAAAGAGTGCTGTGCTGCCTGGCTCCTCTCTCTGCCAGAGAAGGATTCCTCTCAAACGTGTAATTGCCATTTCCATTTCAATTGATTCCCATGGCAGGGAATGCTCCTTGGGGGATTTCTACAGCCTGACAGATCATGGGAATAGGAAAATTTTGCTGATGCTCAAACTACATACTCCTTCATTCAGTTTTGGTCCCTTATTTCTAGTTACACAGCTCAGGGCAGTCTGCTGATGCCTCTTGGTTATTCCAAAACTGCCTTTCCTATGTAGGAAATGACCACTACTTATAACCATGTTCCAGAACTGAGGTCACGCCATGGACAGATACCCCCCTTCTATTCATGGTCACTAATTTGAGACCAACGGGCTGATTCACACAAGTTAATAAACAGTACTGACTTACATTCACACACAGCAAAAGGCAAAGAAGCTCACTGCCATTTAAATGTCAATGGAGCAGACTGAGCTGTATTTAAGGCAACTTCCCTCATTTATTTGAACTGGACAGTTGGATGTAAGCAGCAGCACAGGGCAGGGCAGCAGCTGCCCCCGAAAAAAGCATCAACACTTGCTGTGGGTGCACTGCATGTCTGAAGGGTGGTGATGCCCTGAGCATGGATTAGCCCGTCTCAGTGACAGAGTGACAAGCACATGTCAGAAACCATTGGGGGCATTCATGCTCTGCTCCCCACCTTAGAGGGAGCTGCTGCTGTGCCACCGCCTGGTCCCACCATAGCCCTCCTCATCTCTCCAAAAGGCTTTCCTCATGGTTCAGAAACACATCCTCCAGGTTCAGAAACATGCTTCTGCCCATGCCCGCAGCCACGCGGTGCTGCCTGAAGGCTGAGCCCGAGGGGGACAGACCTGCCCCACCAGGGAGCTGCAGCCTGCACGCTCTGCAAAACCATGCGTCTCACTGGGATGACCGTTCCAGAAACAAACTGAGTAAGTGGAGCTGCAAGTGTGACTCATGGGGATCCTCAAGCTTTTCCACCCTCAGCAGGAAAGCTGAGGTGCTCTCTGCCCAAGGACACGTCGATGGGAGGCTTTGTCTTTTTCAGAGCATTTTTCTTCACAATCCACGCACATCCCAGGGTACACAGCACAGAGATTTTGATGATTACTCTTTCCTACTGTTGTTTTGTGGGATTAACTGCCCTCAAGACCTAACAAATAATATTTTTTTTCCTCCAACTCTAACAAAACTTGATAGAAAGCTCAAGGCTTCAGAGTTGCTGAGCTCAAGTCTATGTCGGTGACTGACCATTTGGAAAGGCACCTCTCACACTGTGTTTCCAGTTGTTTAATTATTCCGGCTGGGAACCACAGACTATCAGTAATGGAAAGTCTAAGTGCAGCAGACAAGGACAATGACTAAACACTCCAGACACCTAGGATGGAGCACATACACCAAGGTACTCAGCCACGCTGGCCATTTTACACAGGACACATTCCCTGTGGCTATGTGGTAAGCTGCAGGTTTTTGGGTCTTTTAGAAAAAAACATCTCGGCTATGAACCTGTCTCAACAACGCAGACTTAAACATGGGAAACTCACCACTAAGCTGATGCATCTAGTGTTTTTGTTAGTTTTCAAGCTCCCAAATTTAGATGAAGCATATTTTACTCCCTATGAGAAATCTCCACGTAGGGCCCATAGGGTGCTGTATAAAAATACAGCACTAATTTTAGACAGGCAGTGTAAATTGCATTCACCACTCTAAAAGGCAAAACCAAACCAAATCAGAAAAAATAGTAAAAATACTTTGAATACGAAGGCTTTGATATCATTCCACTTGGCAAAGAGCACTCTTCTACTGACTTCAACCCTCATATTTTTCAGCTACTAGAAATATTCTTCCCCCTCACCCAATTATCCTCCATTTAATGGACAAAAAGAATGTTTAGAAGAAAACAAAAGCAACTTTGATTTTTTCCCTCTGTAACTCAGCCCTGTAAACTTCAGCTCTTTTATATGAGCCCCTGAGCTGCTTCACATCACATAGAGCTACCTTTTCTTTTCACTTCTTGCTGCAAATGCATAGGCTCTTCCCCTGTGTGCTGGAACTGAAAGCAATCATGAAGACTTGCAGGTCTGACCTAAGCATTCTGCATCTGGACATGCTCTGCATGCAGTTATTAACTGCAGCGTGGAGGGGAGGCTCAGCCTTACCTTCTTCATCTCTTTCTTTGTCCAGAGAAGCTGAAGGGTTTTCAGCAATAGGAGTGGGTCCTGGCCTGGAGGAGGGGGAAGAGAGAGAAAGAGAGGGAGAGAAAGAAAAGGGGGAGAAAAACAAAACAAAACAGATTTATTGGCTCTGTACAGGCAGCCTAGACACACTGGTGCATTGTTTCACGGAAGAGAACTCAGCTAGTCCATGCCACTGTGTTTGAAACCACCAACCTTCCAACTGTCAGTCAGGATTAAAGTGTGAAAATCCCTCACTCTGAAATCCTCACAAAATAACAGACATCATCCATGCATGGCTTTAACTAAACACCCACATGGGCTGAAATACTGAAAAGCTGTATTTGTGCATTTACAACTAAATCATGCTGCTCCTACGCATCAAATACATCCCCACCAGTCCCCTCCTCACCGCTCCCCCTTTTTAATATTAAAACAAAATGGTCCTAGAAGAGTAAGCATCTTGCACAAGCTGGAAAGGATTATCAACACACTCAATTTTAATGAAATGGCTCTTAAGTGTTAACCTCATTGCAACCTGTGGATGGAAGATGCGAGCAGGTGAATTTATGGGAAGATCAGCCTCTATTTGCTTGCCAAGCGCAGGGCAGTCTTTGTGTGCTGGAGAGCCAAGCCTGCCTGCGCAGGGCAAGCCACGCAGGGTTGGAAGCAGGGTGGGCTCTGACTTGACTTCTCAAGATGGTGTTTGAGGAAGAGGAAAGATGAAATGCTGCTGTGATTAGTGGCAAGGCTAAAACGAAAAGTGATCAATCATTTCAAAAGAAGGTTATTTGGAATGTTTCTCTTTTACTTTTCACCTAGTTATTTGAGAACTTGCATTCAGTTGTTATTTTGTGTCTATTATCATTCATCATACCAATATTATTCACCATACCCAGTATTGCTGAACCAAATGTTTAGGAATATTTGATTTTAAAAGCAGTAACATTTTTGATATATGGTTCTATTTGATTAGCAATTATTTACTTACAAAACCATGACTCAGAATATTCTGAATGAAACTATTCTACTGCATCAACAGTTTAAATGTGAAGAATGAATTTAAAAATCTGAATTAGTTCTCCAAAAACACTCCTTGTATATTTAGTTCACCTCCTCTTATGTTTTCATAAAGCCAAAAGAAAAATGTTAAACTGAAAAGGAAACATCCTTTCAATCACCTTCTGCATTCCAAAGTTCATAAATAGCTCATTTCCAAACGCTAGATTTCTTGCTTAGTATCCCATCTCACTTCATATTTCAGGTCACAAAATTCTACTTCAACTGTGAAAAGCTCTACCTCATCCAACTAAACTCTGAAGCACTGCATTTATAAAATATTTTAAGTAGCAAGCTGATTAGTGGTCGAGCCAAGAGAATGATATTATTCCCATTATTCACTAACCTCTGGGAAACACCAGCCAAATTAAAAACGCCACATTTACAATTCATAAGATAATATTTTCTCTCATCTCTGGCTGTTCTGAAATCTTAAATCTCCAAACACTAGCTGTTCTCAGCTACTGCTGCTCCTTTGGAAAAAGAAAAGTCTCTTTTTACAACAAAACAGAAGAAAATCCAGATCCCTCCTCCCCACAAAATTAGCAACTAACAGTCAAATTCAGTCCATGTGTGTGTGCACGCATACACACACACTCTCCTCTTGGCTTGACTCCCAAATAAATTTATACACACAGAGGAAAAGAAATTAGAATGCAACCCAGTGTGTAACTAAATACACTGTAAATCTGAACTGTAATTAATGCAGTGAACAAGCCGGAATGATACAGGAAATGAGAGCAGTTAGGAAAGCAGTGTTTCACTTCAGATACAGCCAATAATTCCACTTGTTAAAAAGCTTTCTAAACCTCAATTAACAAAACAAGCCCTTTTCTTACGTGACTTTTTCCTACCTTACCTCCCTGTAACTGAAATCTGATCTCACCATTTTTTCAATACATAGACACATGAAAACCATCTCTCCAGTCAATTTCAAACGACTCAGCACATTGCCAGCATGCCACTCTGCAAGCATGGCTAAGTAGGAAACAACCTCCCCCCTCCCCAAACCCTGGAAGTGAATGCACCCACAATGTAGTTACTTCCACGACGAGCCCTGCTGTCGGGCAGCCAGGCCAGCCAGGCTGCGGTGAAAGCCAGTGCCGAACCGCTGGGACGGGAGAAGGTCAACCATGGGAAGGGCAACCACCCACCTCCTGGCATGACCTGACCAAAAGGGTTTGCTCTCCATTCAGTCTGCGCATAATGAAGAGGCAATTCCCACTCAATTCTCCAGAATGGGGATTGAACAAGGAGAGGAAACACTGAAATATTAACCACAGTACGCTGGTGTCAGAACAGTGCTGTCTCCTTCCTCACCTGGTAAAGCCCTGTAAGTATCTAAGGATGAAAGGCAATGAGAGGCTAAACATGACAAGATAACCGACAAGCAGTCTCTCCTAAAGCCAAACATAAACAAGACAACAAAGCAACATTATGCTTTTGCCTAGTCCCACCAGAGCGGACAGATGCTGCAGTTCACGTTGGATCCTGTGCTGTTGTATCTAGCCACCCTCCAGCTAGGACAGAAGATGTAAATGTGAAGGTCCACATCATTTTGGCTCCTGAAATAAATGAACAATTCCTCTTTTCTTTCTCCTGCAGGACCTCTTTGGGGGACTAGCTCCCTCATGGTTCTCCTGGCACCCCTGAAGAGTGAAAAATAACTGTCTTTGGCATGGATAATATAGTAGTAACAGTACTGTTATGTTCCTATTGGAATACCAGATAGGTTCCTGCTTATCCACATCCAAGAAGGAACCAGAGAAACAGCAGGAAACTAATGCCAGGATATCCGAGGAAAAAGGACAGGACCTTACAAGTTTCATAAGCGTTCCAGAATAAATCTGGAGAGCAGACAATTGCTCAACACAAAAGGGAGAGAAGAAGTGTCCTGGTTTCAGCTGGAATAGAGTTAACTGTCTTCCTAGTAGCTGGTACGGTGCTATGTTTTGAGTTCAGTATGTGAAGAATGTTGATAACACTGATGTTTTCAGTTGTTGCTCAGTAGTGTTTAGACTAGAGTCAAAGATTTTTCAGCTTCTCATGCCCAGCCAGGGCACCTGACCCAAACTGGCCAACAGTGTATTCCATACCATGTGCCGTCCCATCTAGTTTAGGAACTGGGAAGTGGGGGGCAGGGAATCGCGGCTCGGGGACTGGCTGGGTGTCGGTCGGCGGGTGGTGAGCAATTGCCCTGTGCATCATTTGTACATTCCAATCCTTTTATTACTACTGTTGTCATTTTATTAGTGTTATCATTATCATTATTAGTTTCTTCTTTTCTGTTCTATTAAATCGTTCTTATCTCAACCCAGGAGTTTTACTTCTTTTCCTGATTTTCTCCCCCATCCCACTGGATGGGGGGGAGTGAGTGAGTGGCTGCGAGGTGCTTAGTTGCTGGCTGGGGTTAAACCACGACAAGAAGAAATACAAGGGAAGGAAGAACAAAGTAAAGCAACTGAAAATCAAATGGTCATAACTGAACCATAAGTGCATCTGGGCTCAACTCAGATGACAAGAACAAGAAAATTTGGGAGTGACCTCCAGCCCCTGCAGTAGGAGCAAGAAGCAGCAATTACTAAGATACACGTATTAAAACAGTAACAGAACAGTGCCTGCAAAAGCAAGGATGGGTCCCAGAGGCCAGAAAAACGCCTTCATATGTCACACTAAGAACACCCAAAAATCTACACTTCTCACAAAAAGTTAAATTCTGCAGAGACTCCTACATACTGAGAGATATCCAGCTATTAGCAAGGGTCATTCAATGAGCAAAACAAACAAAACAAGAATAAGGCCATCTAAAACAGCATTAAAAAGCAGCATGGCAAGAAGGAGAGCATCAGCTCTCTGTTCCCAGCTATGAGCAGCCAAGGATGGCCAGGTCTACCATGGTGGAGAGGCCGAGACGTGCCCCAGGCAGCTGATCCCATTCAGTTCCTAGATCAAGCTCAAAGAAAAAGTGCTCAGTCTGACACTGATCCTTTACAGCTCCAAAAAAAGGGGGTTGCAGACAATAAAATATCTGGCAAGGCTTCACCAAAACAAGGTTATAGCACTTCAGTGGAGATCTCAAAAAGACACATCTGCATCCACTCCATCAAGACACAAATGACCTCAATTTCTTCATCTAATAGTTTCTCCAAATAGTATGTTCCTGTTGTAAAAATTCTGACATTAGTGTATTTCCTTTCAACATTTTTCATTCTGAAAATAAATTTCCTCTGCCCTGAATCTGGTACCAAAATTGGAGGAGATGGTAAATCAAATGTTTTCCAGTTCTCAATATCTGTGGTTACATTTCAAAACCATATAAACCACAAGGCTTATATTTTTTAGTTAGAAAAGTGCCTTTGAGGAAAGCCATAAACTACTTTCTGTTCATTCTATCCTTTTCCTTTGTGCATACATCACTCAAAACCTGCTGTGATCACAACAAAAGCGGTGCCCGCAGGCTGGTGAGGTAAAGTAGTGGTTTTGCTGTTGCGTCCTTGCAAAATTCTGCTGCATTATTCACTGGTTCTGCTGAAACACCCCAGCAAGAGAAACCCACTTTCTGACTGAGGTTCCTTGTGTGTCTCGCATGGGGAAAGTGAGACATACAACCTCAGAGAAGGAATTTACCAATGAAAATAATCTCTCAACACTTTCTCTTTGTGTCAAAAGCCATTAAACACCCCACAGCCCAAAACCTGGAAGAATTACAGTCAACTAATTAAAAGATACAGAATGCAAGAAAAAAAGGAACCCCCCAAAGGGAGGCTAATGTCACTGAAATGCAGGATCGCATCCACCAAACAGTCAATTACAGCTGAAATTCATGGACAGAAAAGGTCAAGAACAAAATGCTAATGGCTAAGTCCTCTTTAGGCAGACAGCTTATACCTCTGCCTTGCAAACTAACAGGATTTTAATAAACGTTTAACGGAATATATAACAAATCCAACCCACCCAGTAAATAATCAGTGAATTTTTACTATTATCTATT